AAAAAAATAAATGAATGAATGAATGAATGAATGAATGAATGAATGAATGAATGAATGAATGAATGAATGAATGAATGAATGAATGAATGAATGAATGAATGAGTAAATTAATTTAATAGCCTTACTCTGTGAAAAGGAAGCAGGTTAATGCATTTACATACATGAATGAACGAACTAACGAACTAACGAAAGAACGAACGAACGAACGAACGAAAGAACGAACGAACGAATGCAAGCAAGCAAGCAAGCAAGATTTACTTCCCAAAAAAATAATCATAGCAATTTGCATTAGTAGATTTTAGGTCAAATGTATTGCATGCCCTAAAATCAAGCTTGTATTAATCTTGTAATATTTACTTACTGTTTATTCTAATGCTCTTGTGATTAATTAAAGGTTAATTCATTGTATTTAGTTTTAAAACATTTTTTTTACATTTAAATTTATAAAGCAAATATTACTAGTTAAAAGTTTGTATATTTCATTGATTGTGTTTCTTCATTTTTTTTACTTTGTTTTATCAATGTATATTGCTTACTATATTTATAAAATAAATAGTAAATAAAAAATAAAGTAACAAAAACAATTAAATTTAATTTAAATTTAATTAAAAAATAAAAACTGAACTAAAATGAAAATTAAAATAATAAAATAAAAATACATATTTTTGTCTACATCTTTAATAGCTAAAATAATTATTTGCATTATTAATTTATGCAACAATAGCATGTTATTTTATCAGATTCACATGCACATGCATTGTTGACTAATAATGCATAAATGGGTTAAGAATATGAATGTATTGCTAAATGTGATGTCTGCTCTGGCTAAATTTTAAAAGTTTTGCAGCAGATTTGCTCAAAATAGAATATGAATCATTGCTGATAACTGCTTATATTTATAAATATTCAGATGAGCTGTCAGTATCCAATGGATGTCTATCAGTTCAAAGAAATATTAATTTCCTGCTGTCATCCTATTGTGCATTACTATTCAGAGCCCACACAAAAATCTGCACAGTTAGTAACCAATAATAGCACATGCACATGCAACTTAGCACAAATATTGACCCTATTAAGAATTAGAAACAACAGAAATGCCAACTGACCCAGCCGTGGCTCGAACCGGCACCTTCTTGCTGTAAGGATATTGTGCTACCCACTGTGCCACCATGCTGCCAAAAATAAAATATGAATAAATAAAATAAAACAATAGAATAAAGCAAAATAAATAAATAAATAAATAATAAAGTAGTAAAATATAACAACAATACATACATATATATATATATATTAAATTGCATTAAATAAATAAATAAATATTAAAAAATAAATAACAATAAAATAAAAATCAAAACAGAATAAAATAACACAAATTAATAATTAATATATATTTAAAAATAAGTAAATACATGTAAAAAAAATTATAAAAAATAAACTAAATAAAATGAAAAACAAAAATAAAATAACACAAATAATAAATAGCTAAAATACTAAAACTAAAATAATAAAATGAAACAAAACAACCAAAATAAATATAAATCATAAGATAAAATAAATGAATGAATAAATAAATAATAAAATGAAGTAAAATACAAAACAAGTAAATGTAAATAAAAAGTTCAAATTAAATAAAAAAAGAAAAAAGAAAAAGAAAAGAACAAAAATAAATGAACACAAATAAATAAATAAAATATAAATAAAACAAATGAATACATTTATAACTAAATAAATATTTAAATAAAATACAAAACAAAAGTAAAATAACACAAATAAATGAATGCCTAAAATATGAATAAAGTAAAATAAAACAATAAAACAAAACATAACAAAAATAAATATAAATGAATGAATGAATGAATGAATGAATGAATGAATGAATGAATGAATGAATGAATGAATGAATGAATGAATGAAACAAAAAGTAAAATACAAAAAAATAAAACAATTGAGGTCAATGTCTACTGGAGCGGTGAGAAAATGATGTCAATATTTTCATTTTGAAATGAGTTGTCTTTATGAGGATTAGTTGAGGGATGAGTTGACAGTGAGTTTGCTGATTTCCACCTGTGCAGTAACACAGTGTGCACCTGCAGGATTCATCTAAGCATTCTCCAGTACAGTGTGTCTGTGCTTTCATGCACTCAATGGTTTGCTAAAGCTCAAAGCAGAGGGAAAATAATGCACTTATTTTCCGCAAGACCACAATCTTCTTCACAGGCTGGAGAACAGACGTTTCAGAAAGCCTCTGTGATGATTCTCTGTGCCAGTCCTTCCTTTTCTTTAGTGTTTGGGCTTTTTGAAGCCAACAAAAGGATGTTTGAGCCGAGCGTATAATGACCAGAGGTGTGTTTCAGCGTGCGCTTTTTACTCCGTGGCCCTGTTTAAAAGGACAAACTAAATAAGGACACTACTTCATCTGACACACACACATGCACAGACACATATACCGACAAGCAGAATGCAGATTCATTTGTTTTGTTTTTTTGTGTTTTTGTTTTTGTTTTGTTTTTGTTTTTAGGGGTCAGATGGCATTTCTGTGTGGAGTTTGCATGTTCTCCCCCCGCTTGAAGGGCATCCACGTAAAAAAAACATGCTAGATAAGTTGGCGGTTCATTCCGCTGTGGTGACCCCAGATTAATACAGGAACTAAGCCGAAAATTAATTAATGACTGAATGAATGAATAATTTAGTTTAGTTTAGTTTAGTTTAGTTTAGTTTAGTTTGTTTTTTGTCTTGTTTTGTTCAGTTTTTTCTGTTTTGCTATGTTTTTTGTTTTGTTTTGTTTTTGTTTTGTTTTGTTTTTATTTAGTTGTTTCTATTTTATTTTGTTGTTTTTCTGTTTTGTTTTTTTACTTTTTGTTTGTTTTGTTTTGTTGTTTTATTTAGTGTTTTGTTTTGCATTTTGTTTAGTTTTTAGTTTTTGTGTATTTTGTTTTGTTTTGTTGCTAAATTTTGTTTTGTTTCATTTTGTTTAGTGATTTGTTTTGTTTTTTGTTTTGTTTTGTTTTGTTTTTCAATTTTTATTTGGTTTTTTGTTTTGTTTTGCATTTTGTTTTGTTTTTTGTTTTGTTGTTTAGTATTTTGTTTTGTTTTGTTTTGTTTTGTTGTTTAGTGTTTTGTTTTGTTTTGTTTTGTTTTGTTTTGTTTTGTTTTGTTTTTGTGTTTTGTTTTGTTTTGTTTTTGTGTTTTGTTTTGTTTTGATTAGTTTTGCATTTTATTTAGTTTTTTAGT